TATATGTTTAGTGACTAATGATCATGATTAAGTCTAATGATATCATTAATCATTCTTAAGGAAATATAAATCGTCCAATTGCCGTAAGCACTTGAGAAAATTGCACGTATGGTTTAACCATTGTTTGCAAGAATGAGGTAGCGTTCAATTGAGCTTAATTGATGACTATATTATGCCTTTAAGTGCCATCTAGCAATGACTAAGCTAATAAGCCCCAAAAACTCTCTATTTCACGGCAAGTGTTGAAAAATGATTGGCCAAGGTTATTTTTACCTCCCTACAATCGGTTCTTCACATATTTATGTTAAGAGTTGGGGAGAAATCTTCATGCTTACGCTGATATTAGATGTTAAGTGAGAGAGCCTACCTTAATTAAGAGTGTACCGCATGGAGAAGCTACGCACACGCGCGCACGCACGCACGGAGATGAGGAATCACGAAATAACTTGAGAAAATCGTTGAGAGTTCGAAGAAGTAACTTTGTCTTCATCATCTTTCCAAGCTAATATGATCAGTTTAGGTGTATCATGTTCAGTTCATGGCCTTTGATTCATGTAAAGTTGAGTTAGGTTCGGTTTTGTGCCTATTAAGCCATGACCGAGCGATGTTCGATTTTATTCTGAAACTCTCGAGCAATTGTTGTTTATTCAGTCAGTATATATTATTTCATGTCAGTTAAGTTAAAATTTGCTGAGGGAAGTCATCGTTTTGCTGTAAGTTGTCCAAAGCCGTCGAGTCCCGCACGTAGCGGAAGCCACGGTCTTTTTATTTCTCGAGTTATGTTCATGTAAATCGGTCGTTCTATTAATAAGAATTCATGTTATAGTTAATTATGTTGATCCATGTGAGAAACGGTCGGAAGAGTCGTCGAATGGCCGAACATATCGGCCGTAGCGTCGGGTCGCAACATTGCGCATGCTACAACCATGTTCTAATTCATGTCGATGTCTTTCTCGTGCAAATTCATGAAATTAAGTGTTTAGGAGCATGTTAGGTCATTTCATGTTATTTCATGTTGAATCGGTCGAGAGAAGTCGCCAAACGGCCGGCAAGGGCCGGTCTGCGCTGCCCGCACACAGCGGCAGCAGCGCGCCGGCAATCAGCCAGCGGGCG